AAAAAATATTGATATTTGCTTTTTTACGCTGAAATTGTCATTGTAGAACCCTATTGTCGGTATTAGAAAACAAGCCCAAAATATTGATATTTTCCATACCATTGTCTTACCAAAATTCTGATCCTACGATGATCTGTAAGACACATAGCCCCTGCAGAAGGGGACATATGTTTTGAGATTTCACAATGCATGTGTGGAGCGATTGTCATGGCTTTGTTGTATGCATGTGGATCGATCGACGTCTGCTAGCATTTAGGCCCATATAGCCTGTAGCTGCCCGCCATGGAGCCCCAGGATCCAGACCGCAGATGGTATTGGGTATTCCGTGACAACCGTTGGCAGCAAGTCTGGCACAGTCTCTGGAGAAGCCTTGAGCTGGCCAGGCGACGCCACAGCGAGCAGCATCCCAACCCGGAGCCGGCAAACCAAGAGCCTTCGAGTCCGGGCAAACGGAAGCGACGAGATGATGATATCGAAGAGTGATGCGCCTTGCTGCTGGTCCTTAATTTTCAGCTGATCGGGAACATCCATGTACAGCATGATCTCCACGGCGGCTGCTTTCCCAAATTTGGGACGAATTCGCAAGCTCAGAGCATAAAGTGTTTTTTTCAGGGTGCTGTCTGTCTGTCTCCCTCTCTCTCTCTCTCTCCTCGCCGTGGCCCCTGCAGAAGGGGTTGTAATTCCTTGCTGCCTGTGCCATGAGATCTCTCAGCAGGGCGGGTAGAAATCGCTGGAGCCATGGGTGTCGTCGATCAAGCTGTCTTGGATATGGTTTTCTCGACGCACAAGGATCTCTGGTCAGACTTTGGCATCTACGAGGCGATCTCTAAAAATCAAGGTGCAGATGCCGAAGGCTTGGCAGCAAACAGAGTGTTCCTGAAGAAGCTCCTGCACGTGCAGCCGTCGGCAGTGCTGCTGCTGACCCAGGTCCGCCAGTCTGTCCTCCGTGTGGTAGCAGCTGACCCTACGCTCAACAAAACGAACCTGAAGAACCTCGTGTATGCATCCTCAAGGTTTGATCGACTGAGTGCCATGCTTTACCACTTGCGACGGGCAAAAAGAGATGAACCGAAGATGCGGCAATTGGTGGCCAAGGCCACGGGAGACAGCCTCAAAGCCGTGACCGAGCTC